TCAGAAAGCAGTGCATCAGTGTCTTCGGATGGCTGGAATGGAATTTTACAGAAGGGGAATTTTCAGACTCCCAGAATGCTGGGAAAAATGTGTACAAAGAAGTGGCAGTTATGTGGTAAAATAAAGAAAAATCTGTAAATTGAGGTGGTGTATTTGGTTTGTTAATAATAAAGCATGTTACTTTACAAAAAATTGTTCTCATGACTATCAGTAAGACCCTCGTATTTTAATATTCAGAACACCCATTGTAATAGTGGTTTTCAAAGAGCATTGATGTCCCTCTGATGATGGTCTGTAAAGACCAAAACATGTGAGGGTGTTAAGAATTGAAGTAGTAAAAACTTCAACAGTCACACTGGATGGAGTTGTTTGTCTTTTATAATATTGTTAGTGTGACAGACAAGAATGAAATCAAATTCATCAGAAATGTTGGTAACATTCTACCAGACTACATGGTGTCACATCCCAGAAGACTGAAATCTTCATGGTTACTGCCATGGGAACATCAGGTCTCAGCCGAAGATTGTTCGCTTAGAGAGTATACATTGTAATTGCACGTACAGGGAAAACAGGAGTCATGAGTACATAAGTTGGTTTTGATTTTACATGGGAGTTAAGTGTAAGATAGCAACCCTTGATTGAGAACTGAGAGTTGCGTGTTCTGCGTTTGTTGATACTTCTGAATTGCATGGTGACAGTGAGGAGTCTAGGGCCAGTACTTGGAATGAAGAGTACAGCATTCTGAGTTGTAGCAGCGCATAGTTCGGAGACAGACTGGCGTTCTTGAGGTGACATATTCTTCCTAAACATTGGGCCATCTCCAGACTACATGTTGTTGCAAGGCAGAACCCCTGAACTCCTTATAGATGTTGCCATGAAAACATCAAACTAAACAAGGCACTTGCAGTATTTGTGTAAGAAACATAAGTTGCCTGATTGCAGAGGTAATTGTAAGTGTAAATTGGATAGCAACTGCTGCAGTTGGTGGGGAGATGTTAAGGCATTTTTCTAATTGGTACAGTTAGAAATTTCTTGGCAGCTAACTCCTCAATACTCTGACAAGCCATAGTGGACAGTTCAGGCATCGTACTGAAGTAGAATTCTGTAATGTAAGTGTATGGAAGTATGACTGCCATAACTTGGCCAAGGTAAAGACAGATGGGTTGCAGCATAGTGAAAGCAATATGAATCAGTTTGTTGGAGTGTAACATAAATCCATGCAGTGGTACTTAAAAATTCTGTTAGGGATTAGAATATTTGACAATATTTTACATTCACTGTATCCAAAAATTATATAGACTGAAGCAAATATCAACATTCTGATGTATGTGAGGATATTTGGATCCTTCTGGGTGGGATATTTGTAATTTATTTTAATAAATACTCTTCAGAGCTGATTATGTGTTTGCTTCATGTCTTAAGAAAACCCGTTACATGTACACCCTAAGGATATCTGTACAGATGCAGATATAAGGGGGAAATAAGAATTTGACATACACTGTTAATGGTTTTGTTTGATAGATCCATACAGGTCAGTCATATTTAGAAAGTCGACTCCTCTGATGCAGGAGAGATTTATCTGCTACGAGCCTTGTGTTGTCACAGAAAAATGCAGATCAATATAAGCAGAACATTAATGTCCCAAACAGAGTTTGAGGCCAACTGTAGGATGCCTAAGACTGTATGCATCTATGACAATGCAGCCAGCGTGTTCAGCCTTCATCCTTGCCAATATATATTTCTGCTTTCCAGCGTGCTGTCAAGGAAGGACTGGAATTGAATGACCACAGCTGTGTGCTGGTGGCTTTAATACAACAACTAATAAAGAAATAAAAACAAATAATGTTGTCCCTGTGCTCAGTGCAGCACTGCACTCAGAATATGTACAGAGTGCAAATAAAATGAAGTATATGAGAACATATAAAACAGCATCTGTAGAAGAGTCACATTGTAAATTCAGTTAATAAATAATTTGAAATTAATTCAGAATTTTAATATGTGGGATGAAAAACATTAAAATATATTTGGTTTGGGAGTAGATTCTGGAAATTGTCCTTTTTTAAAAAACCTATCTTGAATATTTCAGAACACCAAAACATTAAAATTCAGTGGCATGCTGAAGGAATATATGTTCCTAGTGTTTATGGAGGTAAGTAAAAATGCTTTCACTGCCATGCATAAAAAGCTGCAGTCACATTCTCCTTGGATATGGACGTGGAACCTTCAGAAGATCACTTCTCTGCCTCGTCCCTGAGAGCAACACATTACTGATGCAGTGAATTTACAACTACCCTCAGCCTGATTGTTTGAAGAGCCCACTTTATGATCAGAATAAACGTAGAATAAATCCTTACAAGACCAGTCATGTTACATGACTCAATATGAATGGTATGTATAAAGCTTAAAGACTGGCTGTAGCAATCTGTTTAACCTGTACTGAATACAGAAGTCATGACAAACATTAGCTCAGTGGTAGAGCAGTTGGCTTGTATGCACGAGAATGTGTGTTCAAATCCATGTGGAATGGGAATAGAATGAAGTAACGACTCATCATGAAGGGGTGGGGCCAAGTTAATATACATGAAGGTAGTGCTTAATGTACAATTTGCAGGTACAGTAGGAAATACAAACAAAACCTTATATTTTTTGTTCCAGTAACCTTCAACAACCTTAAAGAGCACAGCACTGCCACAGCCCCAAGCTTTTAGCCTGGAATTTGGGAGTTTGGCTGCAGATGTAGCTGTATTTCCGAAGAGGGGGATGCGGTAGCCAATCAGCATCAACAGTCAGAGCCAAGTTAATATACATGAATCTAGTGCCAATTGCATGACTCAAAGGTATTGCAAGAAATGTAAACAAATCCCTAAACTGTCTTGAAGAGCTCATTTATAGCCACAGTTTCAAACTTTTGGATGAGGATTACAGAGCAGTGTTGCAGATGAACGTTTATGTGGTAGACAGGATATGAGGATAAACTCTGCTTCTTTGGTTCACCATCTGTGCAAGCCAAGTAGTCAATCCTCGTTCAGCCAAATCTTTTAATTTATGCTGAAACGACTTCTGAGGAAGATCATTTATTCTGTATGTCTCCTGTGAGGCATCAGCTGACTGGTTGACCACAACCACCTTACTCTCAGGGGTAAAGCACCATTTCCAAGTGCAGCAGCCCCCAAGTTCAGTCAAGAGGTTTCATGAAGATACTTTTCTTCCATTACTCTGCTTGGTATTGGGTACGAAGCTTGCTTTCAGTGTAAAGCAGATTAGCGAAGTGGAAGAGAACTGACCAGCTGGCTTGCAAAAATGGCTATTCGAAGAAATTAAGTTCATCCTCATACCCTATCGAGGAGATAAATGTTCAACTGTAGCAGCAATAT